ACACAAAGTGCAAGACAAAACTGGATGCTTTTTTTTCAAGTTCTATCTTGACTGATTTGGAGGTGAATAATTACTTTACCTAAATGGACTTATGGTACCTGCATGGGGAATATTTGAACCAATTTTCAATACTGTGTTACTAGACCATAGAATTGATTTATTGTAGATCTGGTGTATTTATTCTGTACCACTGTAACTGAAGACCTTTTTAAGGAGAACATATTATCAGATTAACATAACAGTACTTACACTACAGAAAACAATTAACCTAAATAAATATCGAACACGTGGAGTGCAGTTGATAAAAATTTATTCTGAAATGGTGTCTTAAAAGTCCAATAACAATAGACACATTCACAATAACTTCCAACTGTAACACTGATGAATAACAATACAATTTTCAGAGGCTGCAAATTGAAAATATATTAAGTGCATTATTTATGTTGATAGAAATATCTTACATTATTACAGCTGGATCAATTCATAATTTATCATAGTTTTCTCCCCTTACACATTATCATAATCTCTTACCTATGAATGATTTTTTTTTCTGATTCCCAACTAACTCTTTTCAAACAGGATGAAATACATTCTTTTACATCAATTATTAATTAAACAGCAGCAAATGAGTTACATCTACAACTATGCCATTATGAAAGACCTTTCTATTATCCATCTAAATCCATCAATGTGTATGTATTACAGCTGTCTCTTTTTTCATCCATCATTTACACAACACAAAAGCACCAAACAATTTCATTTACATTCATGTCTGTCAATTCTTGTGCTGTTTGGGCAAGGTACTTCAAAAAACCTGGGAAGATATTCAACAAATGAAAGAGTTCCAGCTAATCAGTGCCAATGTTTGAAATGATCGAATACTGTAAAATGTTCAAGCAATTTTTATCATCATACATGAATTTACAAACTCCATACTTTTCAAGTTCAAGTTTTCTGTTCAATGTTTCTATTTTGTCAACCTTTTCCTTGAGTTGCCTCTCCTGTTCATGTAATTTTTGATGGAGTTGTCCTATGTAGGACTGGGGGTCAGTGGCTGCTGTATCACTCTCTGCTTCACTGTAATATAAGCATTGTAAAGCATCACTATTATCTCTTCGACCACACAAACAATAAATATATCTCTGGAATTACAAATATACATCAAGGAGTAGAGGCTAACATCATTTCATATTGTAGACAGTATGGGCAATCAATATTTTTATATGTAAATAACATAGCATATAGGTCAAAGTTCAGTTGTATTAAATTCTTTAAAACCATGTCAGTTGGCAAAATTAACTTAATACGATCTGACATTCTTACTGTATCTGAGATGGTGACTGTGGTAGATTCCTTATGGGAGGTTCCTGAGCTGGTGACATGCTCTCTGACTCTTAATTAGCAGCATCTGAAATGGATATTTAAACACTAAATATATTTCAGTTGTTGTAACTAGATTGTCCAGTAATAGGTCCTTTATCCCTGAAGTACTGGTCAGTATGCAGTAATTTTGAAAGTACATATTTAAGATTTTTTTAACAGCCTGTGTGTGTCCTGCACATGTACTTTAAATGTTAATTTGATTTGCAGTGATACAGAATATTTGCAAATAAAATTCCCTTGCCATCATGACAAGAGTGTCTCCATATGTCCATATGCTTAAAAAAAATAATATAATGGACCGTTCATAATTTATGACTAGGGGGTGATGATGATTTTAGGTGCGGTGTTTGTGGGGGTTGGGGTGTCTCCCAGTTTGTTTTGGGAGGCAGGGGGAGGAGCCAATTGTGTGCATATGAACTAGGGGGGTGGTCACTGATTTTGAACATGACAATGTGTGGGGGTTGGGGTGGGGTTTGAATGTGTCTGTGTGTGTGTGACATTCACATTGTACATGTACCCCTAATATTAAAACCTTGCATAGTGAACAGTTTGTACATTTCACGGCAGCTCTAGACTATGCCCTGGGCCGTAAATATTTCGTACTTACTATGAATCATTTTCCAGGATCTCTCCGTATTTTCGTCAACCACTGCCTTCTTATGATCTTATTCTTGGGAATATGGTGAAAAGATACCGTAAAATCCTTACGGGCATCACTCAAACGCAAAAGCACACAGCAGTGATCTTTCCTTTTCGAGGTCGCCCTTTTCAAGGTTGGGTCAACCTATTTAAGCCTCGCTTTCGATTTGACCTCGAGGTCATGCATATTGGCTAAGAATGGTCTATAGACTGCCCACACTCCGGCACAGCGATGACTTACCATAACATCACTGCCACAGGCTAATTTGCATATCACGTGACCGGACTTTTCTCTTGTTTGTAATCAAACGCGCATATTCATAATAAGAAGAGACTGGACTCACGAAAGCTTTTCGGCGCTCTCTTCATAATGTTTTACATTGTTACATATATATTCTTCCACAACTGCGACGGTTAGGTCTATGACAGTACATATTTAGATATCAAACTGGCTGCATCGTTTGCTCTCCGTCGACTTCGATGAAAGCACGTGGTGGCGTACAACCTATGTAAACAAAGGATCGCTACGCAAATCGAAATAGTGTTACATGTTTTTGGATATTTTCTCAGTGAACTAATTCATTCTATTAAAGATGTTTAGTTATATGTGTAGACTCGTCAAAAATAAAAGAGTAAAAGAAATCTGTACATTACATTGAATGGACGGTGCAAGATGTGACGAATCGTCACATTTTTCTGGCCTGTGGCAGAGGTACTATGCTGGCTTGCCGCATGGAACTCTGGGTAGGAGAGTGTAGACTGCCGACAACTGAAGGTAGATCACCATACTAGGGACCATGGGGACTTATAGTACATTTGCTACCTGCATGGACCCTAGCTGGATTTACACCATCAAGACAGTTGCTGGTGGCCTCCAGCCCGTATATTGTACTGTCTGCACGATTTGTCTAATTTTAAAAGTTACTTACTACTTTTAATTTTCTGTGATAATCTAGTTATCTTACTGTCCTTTGTCGGCGTTTTTTTATATAATTTAATTGCGTTTATTGCTAATTTATAACTTTTGAAGTCATAATTTGGCTGAAATATTGCCCATGTGACTATATATTTTAACACATTCACTCATTCTGTACATCTCAGTCTTTTATTCCATCTCACTGGCCCCTTGTACGTACCACATATTTTGTTTGTAAGTCATATTCTGTCATATTCACCTGATGAAAGGGCAAGAAGTAGCCCTGAAACGTCATATTGTCAATAATAAAGAAGTTGTAAATCTATACCATACCTTGTTATGAATAATACTCTTATTTATGTTATTTTCACTCCTTTCAAACAGGGGCGGTGGCATAGCCTAGTGGGTAAAGTGTTTTCATCATGTGTTTTTAATTATCTAAGTACATCATGGCGTGGTCGGAAGCGCTAACGGTACCAAACATTTAAATTAGAATATAAAGCTACTCTGTTTTCAATTTTGCGGTCCTTTATCGTTGATTTAAGACCGCTAAATGTTTACTTTAGCGGTCTTAAATAAAGGACCGCAACATTCTAGCACGACTGATAAGCGTTTTAAAACCGAACTGTTTGGCGCGCAAGAACACAAGGCGCAAAGGGGCCTTTTTCCTGGAAATCGCTTGGAATCGTCCCGTTGAGGGACAGGTTGTGTAATGAACAAAATAAGACATTTTCAACAACATAAATGCTATATCTGAGGAACCAGTATGCTTGTATTTGTAACAAGTAGCATACATAAATATAAAAAAATACAGTTTATACTGTGAGCAAGTACAATTATTTGATTTTTCTCAAGCGAATTATTGATCTCCCCTACTGTATGACAATCGACTCGCCCAAATGCAAGCCGTGAACTCGCTAAGTTTAGTCGCCGCTAACTTTATTCACGAAAATAATTGTTGATAACAACCCTACTATTCCCAGTTTGGAAAAGACCTGACATGCCACGTTTCATATGGGATACATGGGCAGTAGAAGTGGAAGGACTGGGCATTACGGCCGGGACGGAAGCGGTCAGGTTAGGACGTGTGGGCCGACGTGTGTTGTCGACGTCAACACACGTAGATCTGGACCCGCGTTGAATATACTGCCGCTTTTGCGCTGCTGACGGATTTTCCAGCTTCGTAGTTTCTTCACTGGGATTAGGGTCAAGAAATTCTTCTTCAAACCATTCGCTTTTTACTTCAAAAACACCAAAGATGCTGCCGAGATAGAAATTGCCTATGTCCGACATGTTTGTTTACAAACAATAGGGTCAACGAGTTCGTTGTATTCATACGCGGTGAATCGGTCACTTTAATTAGCGGTCCTTAAACTGCCATTTAAGTACGGTTTTGACGAGCTCTTAGCCAATCAGAATCGAGTATCACACATTGTCGTGCTAGAATACATGTTACATCAACCATTTACTCCTTACCAATTATTTACGAGAGTGTAAACTATATGACAAACCTAGCTAACCCTGATCATTCGAGATTTAAAGGGTATTCAAATCCGTGCCCTACAATCACTGCATTTATGTTTGTTACACATGTTAGAAAACACATGAAAACAATGGCCAGATTTACACACTTATTAAACACATGTAAATACAGAGTTTAGTAAAAAGTATAATACTTTATGGATAACAGCTTCTTTATTTATTATGATGCGACGTTTCGGTATAGCTTCTTATACCGTTGTCAAGCAAGAGTAAAGTAGTATAGCATTATAATAAATAAAAATGTTGTTATCCATAAAGTATGATACGTTCTTATTATTCATCAACTTCTAAAATGCCAATCAGACAGATCACGGAGTTGAGTGTCTGTTTATTTTCAACACCGAGGTAAACGTGTACAACCCTGACAGCCAAATGATACGTAGATTTCAAACGTTGTTCATGTGACTGCCGTATGAAACGTTCATCTCCTAGCGTAGGTAAATTTGGGAAATACTGTTCCTTGGTGTGATGTATTAACCAATGAAAGTCAGCGTTTCTGCATCAAAATTGCCCGAAGATATGCACGATGAAGCCTGTTTATTTCGGAAATGCATGATTTCCAAGAGCACAGTTATATATCTATGCAATTAAAACAAATACGTCACAATAATCATCTTGAAATTTGACTCCTGGCACAATGTAACTAGAAACGATATTTTCCAGCATAATGGCGTTTCGTTGTAGAAGGGTGATTATTGACGGATTGAAGCCTCGATGACGTCATATACAGCTTAGATTGATGAATTGGATCTCTTCAACTTCATCGCTGATATTTTCCACTCTCTTTGACCGAACTGAAAGTAACAAAAACGACTGAGTGTATCCAGACTGAGTGCCAGCATGAAGCCAAAGTCATCCACGTCTCCTGCAATCTCTACACCGGTTGTGAAATACTACTGATACTGATCAAATTTCATGGGACCAATGAACCCCATGCCATTTCCTCAAGTTGGAGTTTGCACCCACCAGACGTTTCTGTCTGTTTCTAGTTAAGAGGAGTGAGTGAGTTAATATTTATCGTCACATCGGCAATATTTCAGCCATATCGTGACGTTAACGATAATATTTATTATTGTATTAGAGAACAATAAAAGTAGAAATTAAAAGCCTGTTGACGAAGAAAAGTAAAACCACCAGTGTGTCACAGACATTAAAGTAAAACTAGCATGTCATCATAAAACGATATTTTTTAAAGAGAACAATACAATACAAAACCAGGCTATGGATTCCCAACAACTGAAGCTAGACCATCACACAAGGGACTGGAATATTGCTGAGTGTGGCGTTAAACAACCAACCAACTCATATGCAGTGTGATTCTCCACTCAAACATGTCCATCATATTTCAGTATTATCAAGGCTAAGATGTTGATGAAAAGTAGATAAGACCCGAGAACATATACTGACACTCTAAAGGTTTCGCGACAGACGTAAAAGAGTTCGACCGAAGCACAACTACCTTACCTAATATACATACAGTCAGGAAAGAAGACCGTCATAATCTGACCTTAGGTCATGACGGTAACCTCCCCAAACCCCTACATCCCATAACCCCTACAGCTTATAACAACAAAGTTCATGGTCCAGTGCACTGCTAATCTCCTGCCTGTTACCTATTTCATACAATGGACCAGCCCAAACACTTAGCAATTGAGAGAATGATTTTAATGAGCAATAATCAAACTAAGAGTTTGAGAGTGAGTGAGTTTAGTTTTACGCCGCAATCAGCAATATTCCAGTTATATGGCGGCTGGTTAGGTGTGACGTTTATACAAGGACACCCCCATTGTACATGGTGCCAAGGGTTCAAACGAAAAACTGAATGGTCACACAAATGCCAGCTCTCAATATATTGTAAACAGTACCAGCTTGGATATTTGGACACAGTTTTTGAAAAATTAAAATAGGGGTGTCCTCGCAAAACAGCCCCCCGTCTAAATGTTAATGAAACAATAGAAATCTTTGAATGTTGATTGTGACAGGTAGTCATCCAATACTATACTGAACATATTTTATATGATATGATCTGAAGGCATACCACTATCAAGCATTATATACCATTATCAATTATTTAAAATGAATTGTCAAAACCCGAATAAGAACAGCACAATCTTATTCCCTTCTCGTCGGTATACTCTGTGTAGCTTAAGCTCACTGTATACTCCACCCTGTAATCTCTTCTTTGGGTCAGTTCATTATGCCAGACAGGTAAATGCCGTGTGTTGTTTTACTAATTGTAGGGGTACTGGGCTGTAGGGGTTTGGGAAGACAACCATCATGACTATGATGCAGCCAGCCTTGAACCTGGAATTTGATCTTATGTTTACACCAGATATTTCTCATAGGGTTCTCACCTACAGGTGTGTGAGTGAGTGAGTGAGTGAGTGAGTATGGGTTTACGCCGCTATTAGCAATGTGCCACCAATACCACGACGAGGAACACCAGAAACCCCACAGGGCCTCGTTTCACAAAGCTCTCGTAAGCCTAAGATCTCGTAACATTTCTCGTAGCATTCGTATCTCCTATACTATAACATAGGAGGTACGAATGCTACGAGAACAGTTACGAGATCTTTGTGAAACGTGGCACAGGTGTGCGAGAACAAAGAATTTTGAATGTCTGTAAAGGCAACTGCTTCCATTGCCTCCGTGATCCAATAGATGGAACGTCTGCTTGTTGTTTAACGCCGCACTCAACAATTTTCAAGTTGTATGTCTCTAAGTAATTGAGTCTGCACGAGAAAATCCAGTGATTAACATCATGAGCATTGAACTACGCAACAGGAATACACTGACATACTGATTTCACATTGTTCTTGTGTTCTTGGTTAAAATCTGCGATTCAATTAGGCTATCACCCTAACACAATCCTGTTCCTTGGTTCTCGTTTGCACCATAACCCGCCATGATATTGCTGGAACATTGTTAAAAGCTGCGTAAAACTAAACTCACTCACTCACGCCACAAACTTGCACGCGGATTCTACTTTTAAAGGATAAACGTCTACCAACTGCGTTGCTTTTGGCGTAAATATTGGCAGGCACGGCGTTAAACCAAACTCATCCATTGTCTTTTACATCTTACATTGTTTTTGAATGAGCTGATCTGCCGGAAGTCGCAGTTCTTCCACCTGGGTTGAGACATCCCGTTTTTCAGAATCACGTTCGTCTCTGGCAGCGGGATGACCACGCTTCGCGTCACGTCGCCGTGGTTGACGGCGGAACGTTCTGCTGAGGACGTTGACAATCTGGAAAAAAGAATCGCTGATCTCAATAGATAGAATGTATATTTGCCATAATATCGGTCACCCTTAGCAAGACAGAAAAAAAACCAGCTTTGTAATACTATTGACAAAGTAGAGTGATATTATTTTGGAAGTTTTATGACTTTACGTAGAATTAGAAAATGACGATTCCATTCAGCATGAATTTTGAGCAAACGCGGCAATTTCGTTTTGAATGAAAATGGTCAGTGTAAAATTCGAAATTTACAGTGAAACGTTGTGTGTGGCGCAGAACATTTCAGTAAAAAGAAGCGGATTCTTACCAAAAAAATACACAGTCAATACTTAAATGAGCGAGTGAGCTTAGTTTTTGGCCGCACTCAGCAATATTCCAGCTATATGGCGGCTGTCTGTAAATAATCGAGTCTGATCAAAAGCATGAGCATCGATCTACGCATTTGGGATCCGATGACATGTGTCAACCAAGTCAGCGAGCCTGACCACCCGATCCCGTTAGTCGCCTCTTACGACAAGCATGGATTACTGAAGATCAATTCTAACCCGGATCTTCAAGGGTCTCAATCCTTAAATCCAACATCTGTGCAAGTGGGATAACCCTCAACGGTGTAACAGCATATTGATATCATTGAAGAAGAGTATTGGATACTCAATATTAAGGTGTCACAACTGATATTTGATATCTTCAAAGGATTGGTCGAAGTTGGAAATATCAACAGTTCTGACACCTGTATATCGAGTATCCCCTACTTTTCTTTATTGATAAAGCTTTATGTATTTGGTAGCAGCACAAACTCCCGCTGTGATCCTGACATGTTAGTTTCTCCTTTACAACCATGGAAACAATGTGCAGAAATATGGACTTTCTCAACAACTAGCAGACGACCCTTGTGCAGTGTGCGAAATAGCCACTGGCTCGCAAGCCCGTGGCTAGTAAAAATCCACTTGCCCGATTGGCTAGTAAACTTTCATGGGGTCATTTTGTAAATATATCACTCCCTCTAACTTTTAAGTCATGCAAGTTTATGGTCTGATAAAAATGTTCATACTATAAGCAGCTTACTAATGACGTATTTGAGGATAAACAAAATATTTCAGAAATTCAGACATGTCTTTTCTCATTTGTTTTTTTATTGTATTTTACCTTTTTGTAATCTTTTGATTAGATTCTACATTCAAATTTCGGGCTAGTGAATTATTTTGTGGGCTAGTAACTTTCAGGCATTGCTAGCCCGACCGGCTACCAACATTTGGAAACTATTTCGCACACTGTCCTTGTGTGGCTAAACGTGTGCCATTGTCCTTCCCACAGTGCCTCTCCACAAAATCTGTGACACGTGGTTGTAAGCCGACTCATTACCAGGAGATCCATCAGGTGAGTGAGATTAGTTTTACGCCGCACTCAGCAATATTACAGCTATATGGCGGCGGTCTGTAAATAATCCAGTCTGATCAAAAGCATGAGCATCGATCTACGCATTTGGGATCCGATGACATGTGTCATCCCAGTCAGCGAGCCTGACCACCCGATCCCGTTAGTCGCCTCTTACGACAAGCACGGGTTACTGAAGATCAGTTCTAACCCGGATCTTTAGGGTCAGATCGATCAGGTGAACGGTTCAAGGACTACGTGACAACTTACTGGGTTGAAGGGGACCATAGTCGTCAGATATGTATAGCCTTTTAAGATATCTAACGACATGACATGTATATATTAAAATTACATGTATAAAAATATTTGGTCTTGTCACTATATATGTACATTATGTATATCCTTTTAACATATCAAACGACATGATATGACATGTATATATTAAAACTATGTATCAAAATATTTGATCTTGTCTCTAGTTCGGTTCACTCCCAAAAGACAGACCTCCCAAAAGACAGACCTCCCATAAGTACTCAATGAGTACACTAATTCGCTGATCCATGCTGTCCACCCCTATTTAATTGATGAGCTGACCAAGAGTCACATCAGAGTACAGTAACTTCCATCTCCTGTGCCCTTCTCAAAACATATATTACTAATCCTTTTACTGACCCATCGCTACCAGGTTGTAGGGAAAAAAATCAGTATTGATAATGTATTTATTCAACATGTCATAACAATATTATCATCAATAGCACTACATAAATTTTTAATTGTTGTTTTATGTTGTCAAATAACTGGAGAACAGGATGTTTTTATTACTGAAGATGAAAGTGAAACAGTATTTATAAAACTGAGTATACACAAAAGATATCATCATCATCCTGTTATCTCATCATCATCACTTTATCTCATCATCATCACTTTATCTCATCATCATCCTGTTATCTCATCATCACTTTATCTCATCATCATCACTTTATCTCATCATCATCCTGTTATCTCATCATCATCATTTTATCTCATCATCACTTTATCTCATCATCATCACTTTATCTCATCATCATCACTTTATCTCATCATGATCACTTTGTCTCATCTTCATCACTTTATCTCATCATCATCCTGTTATCTCATCATCACTTTATCTCATCATCATCACTTTATCTCATCATCATCACTTTATCTTATCATCATCACTTTATCTCATCATCATCCTGTTATCTCATCATCATCACTTTATCTCATCATCATCCAACTCATCAAAGTATATAACTGGAGAACAGGTTTTTTTATAATAGGTCCCATGACTTTTTTTAAAGACTTTTTTCCGATTACCCTTCAAGATGGCTACCTGTATGCCAAGAACGAGGTGAAAGGAGAAAATGATGATGTTCAACTGACTTTCTAATAAGTGTTATCTGTGCACTGACAAACGTGATGTAAAATAATATGGTGCTTGGTGTCATATGTTTGATAGGTACATGTATATAATTCATTTTTTTGATAATATTCACAAGTAAATGCGATCTGGCAAATATATGTTGATGAAATATGTCTTAATATGATAATCATAATACATTACTTGAATTTATAAAACTATAGTTAATACCTAATGTTGTCTTTTTTATCTGGGCACATACCTTTATTATCAAAGGTACAGCTTAATTAAGCCTTATGCAACCAACCATAAAATGTGTTGTTTTAAGCGGTCTGTCTTTTGGGAGGTCTGTCTTATGGGAAGATACCTCTAGTTCATGGGAATCTAGAGGTATCCAACACCCAACACCCAACACCTGTTGTTTTATGGAATTATCACGCTTGACTGGTTCATTAACATACAATAGGGCTGGGTGAATGGGAAGACCCCCAGTGAAGTCCGCTTCCTGATATTGTTGAGTAGCGCATAAAATAAGATAAGGATACCTATGGCATTTTAATCATTTTGCACATCAACTTTAGTCATTGTTGATCTCATATCTGTCTGGATATGTCCTTGTTTCTACCTTGTTTGTTATTAATGAGGAAAGCTTTACCGATCTGCCGAACTCCCGTAGACGGTCCCGACCGGCAGGCCTTTGGCTTGTCACTGCCCCCTCGCTGTGGACCACACGTCGGACATCACGTGACCTGCCACCTGGCTCACGCAAACATGGTGGTGAAATATCAGACGGATATCTTACAATGCATATTTCCTTATAAACAGGGTGCCTCTGCATTGTAGCTAAACCATAAATATATGTACTATAAACTTTAAATATAAGCAAAATTTAATATATATTACTGTTTGTTTCAGACAGTTTGTCATGTAATGGTTTACTGTCTAGTGATTGGGCTAGGTGAAGGGTTTACTGTCAAGTGATGGGGTTGTGTAAATGGTTTACTGTCAAGTGATGGGGTTGTGTAAATGGTTTACTGTCAAGTGATGGGGTTGTGTAAATGGTTTACTGTCTAGTGATGGGGTTGTGTAAATGGTTTACTGTCAAGTGATTGGGCTAGGTGAAGGGTTTACTGTCTAGTGATGGGGTTGTGTAAATGGTTTACTGTCAAGTGATGGGGTTGTGTAAATGGTTTACTGTCTAGTGATGGGGTTGTGTAAATGGTTTACTGTCAAGTGATGGGGTTTGTGTAAATGGTTTACTGTCTAGTGATTGGGCTAGGTGAAGGGTTTACTGTCTAGTGATGGGGTTGTGTAAATGGTTTACTGTCAAGTGATGGGGTTGTGTAAATGGTTTACTGTCTAGTGATGGGGTTGTGTAAATGGTTTACTGTCAAGTGATGGGGTTGTGTAAATGGTTTACTGTCAAGTGATGGGGTTGTGTAAATGGTTAACTGTCAAGTGATGGGGTTGTGTAAATGGTTTACTGTCAAGTGATTGGGCTAGGTGAAGGGTTTACTGTCAAGTGACGGGGGTTGTGTAAATGGTTTACTGTCTAGTGATTGGGCTAGGTGAAGGGTTTGCTGCCTAGTGATTGGGCTAGGTGAAGGGTTTACTGTCAAGTGATGGGGTTGTGTAAATGGTTAACTGTCAAGTGATGGGGTTGTGTAAATGGTTTACTGTCAAGTGATTGGGCTAGGTGAAGGGTTTACTGTCAAGTGATGGGGTTTGTGTAAATGGTTTACTGTCTAGTGATTGGGCTAGGTGAAGGGTTTACTGTCTAGTGATGGGGTTGTGTAAATGGTTTACTGTCAAGTGATGGGGTTGTGTAAATGGTTTACTGTCTAGTGATGGGGTTTGTGTAAATGGTTTACTGTCTAGTGATTGGGCTAGGTGAAGGGTTTACTGTCTAGTGATGGGGTAGTGTAAATGGTTAACTGTCAAGTGATGGGGTTGTGTAAATGGTTTACTGTCAAGTGATTGGGCTAGGTGAATGGTTTACTGTCTAGTGATGGGGTTGTGTAAATGGTTTACTGTCAAGTGATGGGGTTGTGTAAATGGTTTACTGTCTAGTGATGGGGTTGTGTAAATGGTTTACTGTCAAGTGATGGGTTTTGTGTAAATGGTTTACTGTCTAGTGATTGGGCTAGGTGAAGGGTTTACTGTCTAGTGATGGGGTTGTGTAAATGGTTTACTGTCAAGTGATGGGGTTGTGTAAATGGTTTACTGTCTAGTGATGGGGTTGTGTAAATGGTTTACTGTCAAGTGATGGGGTTTGTGTAAATGGTTTACTGTCAAGTGATGGGGTTTGTGTAAATGGTTTACTGTCTAGTGATTGGGCTAGGTGAAGGGTTTACTGTCTAGTGATGGGGTTGTGTAAATGGTTAACTGTCAAGTGATGGGGTTGTGTAAATGGTTTACTGTCAAGTGATGGGGTTGTGTAAATGGTTTGCTGCCTAGTGATTAGGCTAGGTGAAGGGTTTACTGTCAAGTGACGGGGGTTGTGTAAATGGTTTACTGTCAAGTGACGGGGGTTGTGTAAATGGTTTACTGTCTAGTGATTGGGTTGTGTGAAGCTTTACTGTCAAGTGACGGGGTTGTGTGAAGGCTTTACTGTCAAGTGATGGGGTTGTGTAAATGGTTTACTGTCTAGTGATTGGGTTAGGTGAAGGGTTTGCTGTCACACGACGGGGGTTGTGTAAATGGTTTACTGTCTAGTGATCGGGTTGTGTGAAGGCTTTACTGTCAAGTGACGGGGGTTGTGTAAATGGTTTACTGTCTAGTGATTGGGCTAGGTGAAGGGTTTACTGTCAAGTGATGGGGTTTTGTGAAGGGTTTACAGTCTAGTGATTGGGTTGTGTGAAGTGTTTACAGTCTAGTGATTGGGTTGTGTGAAGTGTTTACAGTCTAGAGATTTGGTTGTGTGAAGGGTTTACAGTCTAGTGATTGGGTTGTTTGAAGTGTTTACATATATATCATCAATGGTTCCATACATAAAGACAGCTAATTGCCACCGATTGTCTGAAAGGTTACAGTCAAGTGTTCTGATGGCATGAGGGTTTAGATCTACACATTTAGTTAAACAGATGCACTGGACGTATTGAGACGTATCACAACTTATAGGATGTGTCTACTGTAGGTACCTTCACGCTGGGTGACGTCACTGGTGAAGTGGACGGTCCTGTCTCGGTCGGCTGCTGCCTGTTCACGCAGGACGGCCACTGTTGGTTCAGACGCAGTTACCTCCCCCTAGATCTACTCCCGATGGTCTTGCGGACCCCAAATGTGGATCACTTTGTCTTGATTTGAAAGCCTTCATCTGGGGGAACTGGGATCCGTCTATGTCTGTTTTTATAGTGAGAAAGGTCATTAATCTCCTAATTCCACAATGTATAATCTGTCTATATTTATATTTTAAGAGGTTTCAATCTCTTTCTTCCCCATTATATATTCTATCTATATTTATACTGGGACAGAATACTCAATACAGAATTCTGATGTATTTATACTGGGAGAAGTTTATAAACTCCCTAATCTTCTGCAAGTCATTTATTCTCTATCTATTTCGGGGCGGAGGGGTAGCCGAGCGGGATTACAGCGTTCGCTCGAAGACTCAGGTTAGATTCCCCACGTGGGTACGATGTGTGAAACCCATTTCTGGTGTCCCCGCCGTGATATTGCTGGAATATTGCTAAACGTGGCGTAAAACCATACTCATCCGCTCACTCTATCTCTTTCTTCTTTGCATATTTTCTCCGTGACCTTACTAGACTAACGCTTAGTCTAGACCTGGAACCTAAGCGCGCGCGCTACGCACGCACACACGCACGCACACTATTTTCTGGATGATGAGAAACAAAACTTGCTGTAACTCTCTCACTATTCCAAAGATAGTAGAACCTTAGCTATTGTAAAACATACGATCGATTGACAAATGAAAAACAAGACAATGATTCCAATTCAGTGTTTGTTTTAATAGCGTAACCAATGTGATTTGGTCACTATTGATTTTTGATGAAAATAGTCACTGAACAGGAATGGTCGTAGCATTGTCAATGGCTGACTATTACAAGAAATGATGCACAAGGAATGTCACATGTTAACATCTGATGGGTGTGGCATCAGTATCGGGTGTATCCCCCACGTGCTTGGATGATAGCATGAATCCTCCTCCTAATGCTACTGGTAAACCTTCTGATACGATCAAGTGGCAATTGCCGCCATTCTTCATGCAAAGCAGCTCCCAGCTGTGCAAGATTCTGGAGAGGGGGTTCTCTCAACCTCACACGGCGTCCAAGAAAGTCCCAGATGTGCTCCAAAGGATTCAAATCGGGGCAATTGCACGTGAACGATGCGGCCTGGCGTTGTCGTCCATGAATATCGGGTGAGTAGCCAAAGGGCGGTTGTCAAAGTGAGGCACGACAACTGGATGGAGAATATCCCGGATGTACTGCTGACCATTAAGATTTCCTCGGACAGTCACTATTTGAAGTTTACAGTCGTGTGAAAGACAACCCAAGATCATAACCGATCCTCCACCATAAGGAACAGCAGGGTGGATATTCCTGGGCACGTAAGCAGTGTTTTTATGCCTCCACTTATTCGACCATCTGTAACGTGGAGGAGGAACCTGCTCTCATCTGACCAGTGGACCCTCCTCCATGTCCCAGGTTCCACTGCCAGACGGGCCATACACCCTCCAGACGTCGTCTCTTATGGAAAATCAGACAAGAGCAGGACGTTTGATGACTCTTCTGGGCCTCATACCAAATGCCCTAAAGGCGATTCCTGGCGGTTCAGGTGGATAATTGTCTGTAGGGTAACCACAGGCGCTTCAAAGAAAACCGAACTTGTGACAAAGGGTTCTCGCTTTACCAGACGTGTGAGGCTGCGATCATCACGGGCCGTTGTCTTCCTGGAGTTGTCCAGGCCTTGGACGATCTCTCACATCTCCTGTCATCTGATGTTTTCGGACAAGTCGGCTGATGACCGAGTGACTGTGGCCCAGTTGTCGTCCAATAGCTTTGAAGGACATGCCTGTTGCATGCATGCCGAAAATTTGCCACCTTAGTGCTTCCAGAAAGTCTTTCCTCCATGCCATTTCAGTATTCATTAATGGAGACAGTTACACATTTGTCTGCTTTTATACCCATAAACATTCTCTTCCACAGAAGTTTCTCCTGTCATATCTTCCCACGTAACCTCTGTTCTAATACGGCCATATTTCCCGGTTCTCATAAAATCCCCCAGCGGCAAAAGATCGCAACACGAATTATCTCCTTTCTTTCTAATCCAATCAGAACACGTCTTATATCGACTTAGATTCCACCGGTCCTAACACAAGCAAATATGGGGCCACAAATATCCCCATCTGCCGGGGACTAGTGTTGATGTTACACAAGACGTTTAATGGCTAGCTTGTCCGTTGTCAACGAGGGCGATGGAGACGCCACTGATCCGCCATAACATGACTGAGTTCTGTCTAGAAAAAACATTAGCGCATCGCGCAGGGGAAGAGGTTTAGTTTTCTCGAAGCATACGGAAATAACCGAGGCCTTGCGAATGATCACTTTTGAAACAACGTCGCTGATTGCACAACTAAATCTGATTGCCTCCAATCACGAGCCTTGAACGCTCACACCACGAAAGGGCCGTATTAGAACAGAGGTTACGTAGGAAGATATGACAGGAGTTACCTCTGTGGGAAGAGAATGACCCATAAATTGCATGTCAGAGAAACTGAATTTTGGGGAAAGTGTGGGTTGTATGCTTCACGTGCACAAGGGATGCGTTGTACGAGTGCAAAGGAACTGAAACACCTTTTTAGACTAGAGATGTGTTGTAATACAGAGATATCATTCATGTTTAACGATGGTTAACAGTTGCTCTACTATCATCAAATATATCAGGGGGTGCTTAATTAAGTTCCAGGTGTATATATATATGATTTTGATAGTAACAAATAAACCCATTTAAATTGGAAAGGAGCCCCAGTGAGTTGGGAGATCAGCCTGAACCTGGGAATCAGACGCTCTGTTATCTGTCTGTCCATTTTTTCAACATTGCTGTCTCTCCCGTATTTACATAACATGCAGCTGTCTTTCCCATTTTACAAACATGCGCTATTCTCCTGTATTTACAACGTGCGCTTGTCTCCCCAAATTTACAACATCGCTGTCTCTCCCCATTTTACAACATCGCGCTGTCTCTCCCTTAAATTCTACAACTTGTCGCGCTGTCTCTCCCGTATTTTAACAAATATATGCTGTCGTTCTCCAATTTACAACATGCTTGTCTCTCCCCAAATTTACAACATGTTGCCTCTATTTACAACTGTCTCTCCCCATTTACAGCATGCGGCTGTCTCTCCCTCTATGGTACAACATGCTGTCTCTATTTACAACATACCAATGGCTCACTATTTACATGTGGCTTGTCTCTCCCAATTTTACAACATAAGCTGTCTCTGGTGTGGCTCCTACAACATCGCGCTGTCTCTCCCTGTGTTTACAGCATAAGCTGTCTCTCCCCATTTACATAACATGTGCTGTCTCTCCTAATTTACAACATCGCTGTCCTCTCCCTATTTACAACAACATGCTTGTCTGTCTCCACAAATTTACAATATGCTGGTTCTCCCCAATTTACAACATCGCGGCTGTCTCTCCTTAATTTACCAATACATATACCAGTCTCTCCCTGCCCATAACAACATGCTGTCTCTTCCATATTTTACAACATCGGCTGTCTCTCCCCATTTTACAACATCGCGGCTGTCTCTCCCAATTTACAACAACATCGCTTGTCTTTCCCTATTTACAAATGTCCTTGTCTCCCCTGTCTCTCCCATAAGCAACAACACATGCTGCTGTCTCTTCTATATTTACAACATGCGCTGTCTCTCCCTAATATTTACAACATCGGCTGTCTCTCCCCAATTTACAACATCTGTCTCTCCAATTTTACAGCATGCTGTCTCTCCCCAATTTACAGCAATGCTGTCTCTTCCCTATTTACAACATGCGGCTGTCTCCTTCCTATGTTACAACATGCTTGTCTCCTCAGATTTTACAACATGCACTGTCTCTCCCCATTTTACAACATGTGCTGTCTCTCCTAATTTACAACATCGCTGTCTCCTCCCCATTTACAACATGCTTCTGTCTCTCCTCCTAATTTTATAACTGTGTGTCTCTTCCTCGCTTTACAACCATGCGCTGTCTCTTCCATGGCTACAAACATCTCTGTCTCTCCTCTATTTTACAGCATCGTGTCTCTCCTCAATTTACAACATGCTGTCTTTCCCCTATTTACAACATCGCTGTCTTCTCCCAATTTGTACAAATTATGCAAGCGCTGTCTCTTCCTATTTCCACAACATGCGCTGTCTCTTCCCTCATTTACAACTTGTCGCTGTCTCTCCCCTGTTACAACATGCTGCTGTCTCTCCCCTGACACAACATGTGCTGTCTCTCCCTATTTTACAACATCGCTGTGTCTTCCCTATTTCACAACGTAAGCTGTCTCTCTCTATTTACAACATGTGCAGCTGTCTCTCCCCTATTTACAACATGTGTCTCTTCCCCTATTTACAACATGCGCTGTCTCTCCCCCAGTTATACATAACATGCTTGTCTTTCCCTTTACATAACATGCTGCCTCCACTTACAACGTGTGCTGTCTGTCCCTATTTACAACATATGCTTGTCTCTTCCTTTTATTTGCAACATCGCTTGCTCCTCTCCTATTTTGAGCAACATGCTTTTGTCTCTCCTGTATTTATAACATGCGCTGTCTCTTCTCTATTTACAACGTCTTGTGTCTGTCTCTATTTCTTAACATGCGCTGTCTCCTAATGTCTAATACAACAATGGCTGTCGCTTGTACCTTGAGCTTTCTCCTCATGGCTTGACAACATGCTGTCTTTCCTTTTATTTACAACATGTGCTGTCTCTCCCTGTATTTACAACAATTCTCCATTTGTCCTTTATCTCTGTGCCTATTTCTTTGTCTCCCTATTTCTTTTGTGCGCTGTGTCCTGCCACCCACCCTTACCCTCTGCCAGCTCTCTTTATAACTGTCTCTCCCTCCTTTATCTCTCGCATGTCTTCTAAATTACAACATGTTGCTCTCCCAAATTTACTTTATCACGCTTGTCTCTCCCCAGGTTGCAACATGCCTTGTCTCTCTCCTATTGCTTTATCCTTTGTCTCCATTTCTTTACAACATGCTGTTCCTCCTCCCTCATTCTTTCAACATGTCTTCTCCCTATTTTACTTTACAGCGCTCGTCTTTCCCTATGTACAAATACGGTCCCCATTTTACTTTATCTTTCTGTCTCCCCTATTTACAACATGCTGTCTCTTCCATATTTACAACATGCGCTGTCTCTCCCAATTTACTTTATGCCTGTCTCTCCCCCTACATAACATGCTGTCTTTCCTTCTTATGTACAACATTGTCTCTTCCATATTTTAACATGCCTGTCTCTACCCTATTTATGTGGCTGTCTCTCCTCTATTTTACAACTTGCTTGCTCTCCCTACATTTCCCACAAGCATCTTGCTGTCTCTCCCCTATTTACAACTTCATGCTGTTCTCCCCCATTTGCATAACAACATGCTGTCTCTAACCTTATTTACAACATGCGCTGTCTCTCCCAAATTCTAACATGCGCTGTCTCTCCCCAAATTTACAACATGTGCTGTCTCTCCCCATTTTATACATGCTGTCTCTCCCCATTTGACTACAACTTCATATGCCTGTCTCTCCCCATTTTACAACATCACTTTTGTCTCCTAACCTATTTTACAACTTGTCATCTGCTCCTCTCTCTATTTACAACATGTAGCTTGTCTCTCCCCAAATTTTACAACATCTTTGTCTCTCCCCCTTAAATTCCACAACGTCTGCTGTCTCTCCCCAAATTTACAACATGCTGTCTCTCTAAATTTACAGACTTGCAAAGCGCCTGTCTCTCCCCAAATTTGCAACATCACTGTCTCTCCCCATTTACCAACATCTTGGCTCGTTCTCTCCTATTTACGAACTTATACTGTCTCTCCCCATTTACACAACATCGCTGTCTCTAACCTATTTAACATCTGGCTGTCTCTCCCTCTATTTGCCACAGCTTGTCATGTGTCTCTCCCAAATTTACAACATGCTTCTGTCTCTCTAAATTTACAACATGCGCTGTCTCCTCCCCAAATTTACAGCTTGCTTCTTTTGTCTCTCTAGGTCTACAACATGCATGTCCTCTCCTAGATTTACAACATGCTGTCGTCTCCCACTACAACATGTCTGTCTTTCCCTATTTTGAACATGCGCTGTCTCTCCCCTATTACAATACATGCACTGTCTCTTCCATATTTACAACATGGTTCTCCCCATTTCCTGATTGTTCTCTCCTATTTACAGCATAGTGCTGTCTCTCCCTATTTACAGCTTGTCTTTGTCCTTCCATTTACAATGGCTGTCTCTCCCTATTCTGTGTACATTTGTCTCCTCCCCTATTTACATAGCTTGTCTGTCTCTCCCTATTTACAACATGCTGTCTCTCCCCAAATTTACAACATGTAGCTGTCTCTCCCCTATTTTACAACTTGCGCCAGTCTCTAACCTATTTACAACTACATGCGCTGTCTCTCTCCTGATTACAACATGCTCTGTCTCTTCCATGGCCCCACAACATGCGCTGTCCTCTCCCTATTTACAACATGTACGTGTCTCCCGTATTTACAGCATGCTGTCTTTCCCTATTTACAACATGCGCTGTCTCTCCCCATTTACAACTTGCGCTGTCTCTAACCTATTTCCTAACATTACCCCTCGTAGTGGGCGCTCTCTCCCGTATTAACAACATGCGCTGTCTCCTCCCTCTTAATGAGATGCACTGTCTCTCCCATACTTAAATATCATGCTGTATCTCCCGTAATTACAACACGCGCTGTCTCTCCCACACTTTCTCGCCTATCACACACATCTTCTCTTTTGACACACCCGTTTCTCCGTTACCCACATTCCCTCCCCAGCCTCCTGTGAAAGCCCGGGTTAATATTTAATCTTCAGCAACCCAAGCTTGTATTGAGTGGTGGTCAGTTGATGTATGTTGATCCTCTGTTGCATAGATCGATGCTCATGATGTCAATCACTGTACTGCTGCACGAAACTCGATTATCTACAATGGCCGAAATATTGCTTAGCGCGGCATTAGGAGACAAACTGAAAAAATCTCCATTCCCACATATTCCTTCTCTCTCCCGAACATTCTCTCTACCGCCACACACATCCTCCTGGACTAACCCTCAGTCCAAGAAAATACATATCATTTTGATAAAAACTAACAATTCCTATTACATTGGAAAGGAGCCCCTGTGAGAAGCCAGATCTTGAACCTGGGGAAATATAGACTTGCTTCATTCAGGGCTTTTAATCTGGCTTGGCAGAGGGAAAAAAAGGTTTGGGGACTGGGGACAGACCCCAACATTCTCCCTCAGAGGCAAATCTCCCTCCAGTACCTTCATCCGCTCCCTTCTGTATCCTCCATGTCTGTTATCTGCAAGCTGCTTTCTCCTTTCCTCTCCTTATCCTTCTCGGAGTCCATGGAGCGTAGTCTCTGTCCTGCTCTTTTCCTGTGGCAGAACAATTGTGCTTGTCGGCGCCGAGACATCCGAATGCCTCCACGCTCCCTATGTACCAGAAGACCCGACATGAAATGAGGCGCCATCTTGTGGTAAATGGTTGTCACGTGACATCTGTGTTACGTCAGGGAAGGTTGTGACACTGGTTTCAAAAAACATAACCACATCCCTGTAAAAAGAAAGAAGACAAATGTGCTTAAATTAAGATATCATGTAACCCTTTTTCAGATTCAATAATAAATTATTAAACTAAATCCCCGTCGTTGAACATATTTACTGACCATGCTTCTTCCGTTCGTTTCGTTTTCAGTTTTACATAGTGTTTGTTTCTTAGTCTGTTTGTTTGTTTCTGAATCGATATATTCCAGCTTAATGGAGGCGGCCTACAAAATTTTAATAGTCGACCAGAAAATCCAGTGACTGAGCACTGATCCACGAATGTGAGATACGATGACCTGGAATCAACCAAGTCACCTGTCCTGACCATCAGATCAGATTCTTGTGACGTGCAGCATGTAGAGGAAATGGGTTTTACCCCGACCTTAGCAACGTTACTACGCCGTTTTTGAAATGCAGAAACCATACGAAACGCATCAACGAAATAAAACTTGTATATCTCCCTGATAAATGAAGAAAACAGCTAGTCCTTACTGACATTGAAATTGCAAGTCAAGATTTAAACACAAAAAGGTACACCTACAGTATACCGGATACATACCAGCCATATTGTTTAGTGTCACGCCACCCTAACCCTAACCCTTACCCTAACCCTAACCCTAACCCTTACCTTAACCCTAACCCTAAACCTAACCCTTACCTTAACCCTAACCCTAAACCTTACCCTTACCTTAACCCTAAACCTTACCCTAACCCTTACCTTAACCTTAACCTTAACCCTAACCCTAAACCTAAACCTAACCCTAAACCTTACTATTGAAAAGGCAATCATTTATCATATAGTGCAACCATAAACTAACGATAACTATGGCAGGTGTCAAGTTGAAATTTCCCAAGCGCTCAAAACCCTCATGCAGTTAATTTTAGTTACGTGTATGGTAGTGGTGGTCCGATTAATTGAAATAATCGAAGATTGGTGGCAATGCCTAAACGACCAAGCAATCGCTTGTGTTTTCTCATAATCGAACACAACCAATTTTGGAACACTTGTTTGCATCAACAATATTTTACACACAAGGTTGGTTTTGTTTGTGTCATTAAATTTACATTTCATAAGCACTACCAGGGATACTCTACAACCTTATAGAGTCTCCCTGGCACTACAAGCTCGTTCCAAGTCATGATTGAATTTATCTTAAAGAATCAAGGAAATCGGTGTTCGTAACATACTAGTCATCCTTTAAATATGCGTAATTTGCCAATGGCTTTTGTGCAATTTGCAAAAGACCCAAATTACTACATGTTTTTTCTTTATTTTGTGTGTGTGCATTAACAAAGATAACAGGAACATTTGATAAATGACGCAAACCAATTATGTTTGATGATTGATCGGTTGTAATGAACCAATCATCAATTATGAGATTTTAAACAATTCCCAACACTAGTATGGTCACCATTTGAGTTGAGCGCGCCTATACATCTTGGTGTCACCGATAAGATTACCCTCCTCATCAATGCTTGCAGTATCTTTAGCTATATTCGCTGTAAAGCGAGTTCAAACTCATGGACGTTATTCGGTTGTTTTGCTGACGAAACTTCATGCTGTGTCTAGCAGTATGGGGCTGTGCATTATGATGCCATTATCCTGCTTCAGAATGTTAAGACGTTGATATGCCGCCGTGTGAGGAACGACCAATGTTCTCAGAACCTCTGTGTAGCTACGCAAATGTGTCCTCCCATAAACCCAAATCTTTCCAACATCATAACGTTGCCATCAACCGAACGGACCACGTTTTACCAAACACTTTCTGGATAATGTTTTGGAAATTTGTAAAGTGATGATTTTACTGTATTTGAGCAATGATGTCATGTTTGAATCAGTTATACGCACTCAGTAAATAAACTCCAAAAGAACATGTTTCAATGTCAAGTTATATACTGATCGACTGACTGACTGAGTTTGGTTTTACGCCGCTTTTAGAAAATATCCCAGCTACATCACGGCGGGGGACACCAGAAATGGACTTCACACATTGTGCCCATGTGGGGATTCGAACCCGGGTCTTCGGCGTGACGAGCCAACGCTTTAACCACTAGACTACCCCACCGCCCCAACAAGTTATATACTAAGAGTACTTAGTATATAAAAATTCAAATGTCAATAGGCGTTCATAATCCCGATAAGGACACCATAAATACCGCGATAATAGAGGGTACTATGATACATCGCCTAGTGTTTATTCGTCAATGGTGAAGCCTTCACATACTGTCAAATCTACACTTCGACATGTTTCAGTTTCAAAGGACTCTGACAATGTACAATTTATCCTCATATTCTTCATATTTGTATATTTTTCTGTATGTATGTGTTTGGTGTCCGACACACCCCCCCCTTCAAAATTCCTGGACCCGCCTATGCATCACGTTATTATCATAATGTTGCTTATTGTAATCGTATACCAACTCAAATCCAAGAAGGCACACTGTACTTTAATCACACTTGAGTTTACAACAGGATTTCAATGTGAGCTCCTCCCCATACTTAGTTTAAGTACATGTCCATCCAACTGGGATGCCACCTTGGTAACTACAACGTATGATATTTATGTAGATGGTTATATCTTTCCAACTGTTTATATTCAGTGGCCAGGACTTACAATTAAAAACAGGTACACATACATTATACCGGATACCTGCCTGCCATATTTAATTAGGTCACGTGATGCGAGCGCGGAAAGGTGAAAAAATATAAAACTGAGATGAAAGTAACACTAACCCTAACCCTAATGCTAATCCCTAACCTAACCCTAACCCCCTAACCTAACCCTAACCCTAACCCTGCTAGGTATCCGGTATAATGCATTCTTACCCTAGGAAGTATGTCAGATAATGCCATGAATTAAATGTATTATTTATGAATAGAAAGTGGCAATATCATGTGTATGTTTTTAGTGGCAATATCATGTGTATGTTTTTAGTTGCAATATCATGTGTATGTTTATAGTGGCAACATCATGTATATAGTGTATTTACATGAACATTGTCATGCATAATATCTCAGTCGTTATTGAATATGTAAGTGAACTAGATGTGCTGTCATGGATTAGTTGTGCCTGTATTGCACTCATGTATGGACACATTAGATGTACTTTACATCAATATCATGCTGATAGTGAACCAATGTAAATATTTGGTTAAATGTTAATTATCATTTATATATGTTGATATAACGACATCTGAGGTATAATTGTGATATGTGTTAAAATGATTTCTATGAATGATTTCCGATTATGATCATTATTTGGTTGAAAGAAGAAATATTATATCTGTTATACATACAAGCTCTACCGTTTGAGATGCTAATTCCCCATAAAAATGTGCATATTAGATTATTGTTTGAATATGTTTTATGTATATGTATTTATGAATAACACACTTGACCTCACAATAAATGTTGAAACATCTCCCTGACTGATCACTGACTTTAAGGAATTCTACATTCTATTATAAGGATTGAAACTTGAATTGTTATCCCATAACGAGCCGGGTAACAGGACCATCGGACAAATATGTAACCACGGAGATTAAATTATGTTCACTTACTTGGAAAATGTAAGAACATGTCTCAACAGGGACGTAAAAATAATCTACCGTTTCATCTAACGTTTCGTCACAAATGTTATGACGTCATAGTACCGATGACGTCATTCAAAGAAAACACGACTGGTCAAATGTTGCACCCATAAAAAACAGACGATTGCATTCTGTCTTGAAACTGTCAAACGGCGACTGTGATTACTCGCCTGTTCAGAATAATATGATGTTACTACATTTGTAAAGGCTTACATGTTTCCCAAGAGAATACTGTCATCGTGTTATGGGTTTTGCATATTTATTTGCAGGTGTATCTTTAGACTAACGCTTAGTCACTGAATATATATAAAATTTTCATAGCAACAAAAAAAAGCCATATAAATTGAAAAGGAGCCCCAGGGAGACCAGTGATTCAGAACCAGAGGAAATCTAGACTTGCTTCATTTAGGGCTTTAGCATTGCAGATAGTGAGTGAGTGAGTTTAGTTTTACGACGCACTCAGCAATATTCCAGCTATATGGCGGCGGTTTGTAAATAATAGAGTCTGGACCAGACAATCCAGTGATCAACAGCATGAGCATCGATCGACGCAATGGGGAAACGATGACATGTGCCAACCAAGTCAGCGAGCCTGACCACCCGATCCCGTTAGTCGCCTCTTACGGCAAGCATGGGTTACTGAGGGCCATTATTCTAACCCGGACGTTCACGGGTACATTGCAGAGAGGGCTTGGCAGCAGGGAAAATAATGTGGTTCAGGGACTATGAGACAGACTAGTGTATCTTTTGCTAACCTAAATGAAAATATGAAGAAAGAGTTCACACAAGTCAAAAGTTCCCGTATGATTATATCTGATCCAGATCATCCCATCTACTATGAATATAAATTACTGCCTTCTGGGCGCCGTTATAATTTACCCCGTTTTAAATCCAGTCGTGCTATGAAATCCTTTGTTCCCATCAGTATTAATCTTTTAAGTGATTCCTAGTGTTTGTCTTACCTTGTTTGCTTGTTATATGTGTGTTATTTATTGTATAGAAATATAGGGGACAGGGGACACCAGAAATGGTCTTCACACACTGTACCCATGTGGGGAATCAAACCCGGATCTTCGGTGTTACGAGCCAACGCTTTAACCACTAGGCTACCCCACCGCCCTTTTATTTACAGATATCAAGTAAAAGTTGAAAGAAATTTTGTTTTTTAGTGATTACTCGACCTAAAATGCAGAAATGTTATAATTTCGTACTAATTCATAATTTTCAGACGCCGAATGGTACTGAAGTTTTAAAATAAACTAGTTCTCAAAAGAAACTATACACCGCAAAATTTTACATTACAAATTCACAAAAATAAAATGAAGTGAAGTGCACCCGAGCAACTGTCATCAGGCTAATGCAATGACTGAGAGAAACAGGCAATACGTTAGACAGGCCTTGGAGTGGTCGATAACGTGTGACAACGCCCGGTGATGATCGCCACTTCCCGACAATTCATTTCAAAAATCGTTTTGTAACGGCGATGCCAATGGCAGTGACGGCACTAAGACACCGTTTAAGTCGACATACAGTGTATAGGCGACTAAGCGAACATGGTATTCGAGCACGTCGACCCTGAGCACGTATCTGACTCTTCAAACAGACGTTGTCGCCGCCGCTAAATATAACGAGGCCTGTGGGTATTAATGGCAACCTGAATGCTCGAAGATACATGGATGAAGTGTTGCTACCAGTTGTGCTGCCATTTATCCAGCAACAACCACGTGGCATTGTCTACACGATAATGCAAGGCCTCATACAGCAAGACTGACAAACGACTTTCTGCATAACGCTAACGTCGTTGTTTTGTCGTGGCCAGCAATATCTCCCGACATGAATCCGATAGAACACCTATTGGACTACCTGCATCGACAAATCAGAAGATTACCAGCGCCACCTGTCACCGCTCAACAACTGGAACAATGTCTCCTACAGGAATTTCAACGGATCAAGCCTACACTCATCAATGCGTTGACATGTTTTGGCGTGTATTGAAGCCAATGAACGTCACACTCACTATTGATTCAACAGCGGATGACAATTTGCAGGACTGACTGACTGACTGAGTTTAATTTTACGCCGCTTTTAGTAATATTCCAGCAATATCACGGCGAGGGGACACCAGAAATGGGCTTCACACATTGTACCCATGTGGGGAATCGAACCTGGGTCTTCGGCGTGACGAGCCAACGCTTTAACCACTAGGCTACCCCACCGGCCCCAATTTGCAGGAAAAGACGCCATGTTGATTTGTGTAAAAATTGAAACTATGATATCCCGCATCTGTCAGTGTCCGTCAAACGGTTCTCTCGACTTGAAATTGTGTACATTTGCTGTAGAATTGAATACTCTACTCAAATTAAACAGATGTTCATTTATATATGCTTTTCTTTCTTTTCTTTTCAAGTTTGGTCTAACACTGTAAACTTTCTTTTGAGCACTAGTTTAAATAACTCGAAGACAGCATTATAATGAAACACCATGATTAGTGTGTCATCTTTGTAAAATTTATAGTGTACATGATGTTGTCAGAATCATTGAGGAATATGACTATGCAGATGCTTCTGCATTTATCACTCCACATAATAATGGCGTAGTCTGATGATGACAGAGGTGAGAATGATGGATGAACTGATAGTTGAAGTCCCTATGCTTAAATGAATTGCTGAAATCTACAAAGACCTGGCTAAAACTGAATTTATAATAATGTATAAATCTTAAAAGAGGGAATTGATCTGAATGTATAAGGAAAATGTCAGTTTTGTTTAAAAAATATACCATAAAACCTGAGGACCTTCGCCCCCATGCACCCTATTAGGGTGCAGAGACATACTTTTTCAATTTCTAAAGAAGCATACAAACAAATTAAAAACAACACTCAATTATATTCACTAAACCCGATGGGAAAAGCTATATTTGAAAATAAGCAATACTTAAAACGTTGGGGATCAATGGGTTAAATGACCAAGCATTCAGGAAGCTATTGTTTCAAACAATCCATGCCACTGTAAAACCCTCTTAGTCATAAAAATAATCCTGAACATGGCCCATTTTCAAAGTTCTCCATCCCAATCCGTGTGCCTGGATATTTCTTATCCCATTATGAGGTCCTAAACAGGCCGAAGTTACCTCCAGGACCCAATATATAGTAAAATGAGGAGTAGAATGTAATATAAAATCCCGCATGAAAAAATATTACACTGCATTTGTAAAATTAGGCCTTAGACTTGATCGAAAAAAGGTGGCGTCTTACCACGTGACCTATTTAGGCCTCGTCCCCGCGGTATGAGACGACGGCCGTGTCACGGTGAAGACGGCTTCGTAGTCTCCTAAGTAAGCTGGTTCCCGGGTCCCTAGGGGCGCGTCAACTTGCAATATGCGAGTCTCTAAATTTAAGTTCAATGTGAGTGAGTGTGTGAGCTTTTGGCAATATTCCAGCAAAAACTGTTTCAGCCATTGTACATACGTTACAGTTCCTATTTTATTGCATTTGACCGATGTCTGCGGTCGTATGAAACAATGAAAATAAAGCGTAACTTGACAAAGTAAGCAATTTAGAACACTTGTTTAATTAATTGTTGAAGGATACGTTGTTTTTCAAGCGTGGCACCGTCGTCGAATAATGGAGAAACCAGGTTTCCCATATGGATAATCGAACCCGGGGCTTTGGCGTGACGAGCGAACGCTTAAAGTTAGTGGTAGTGCTTCCGAAATTATTTTTCATTGTTACTTGTTACAAGGGCCGTAGAGGCCTTTGTCTATCATCGTAGTGTGTTCGATTTAAGTCTGTAGTTAATTAAGGGTGGTAAAGTAGACTGGACTATTTTATTCCAACATTTCAGAAGCATTTTCGGCCGCATTTCATCGAAATACTGACAGATTACTTTACTTGCTCTACAGTTTTAACAGCTGATTTCGGAAGCATTATCTCGACGTAATACTATCATATCATTCCTTTCAATCAATGCTAATTAATTCAATCAACAAGCAACATACCTGCCAGTCACGCTGGGAAAATGGTTGCCACAGAATCAGATGACCCTGACATTTATTGAGGCAGGGGCAGCTAACGTCCATTCGGTGATGAGAGTGACCTCCCTTTGGCTGCAGGAGTACAACTTCACAAAAGACTTTCTATACTCTAGCTGTCCATGTCAGAGCTCTCCAATGTGACGGGCAGCCACGTTTACTCGTAGACTTGGACTCACAAACGACCGAACTCATTTTCAGGAACAGGAGATGACTGCGCTGACGCCGAATACACTTCCACAGCTAAAGTATTTTCTTTGTTTCTCAATTCGAATTTCGGTTTCGTTTCACCTATAACGTGATTCATAATGAATCATTCGGGACAATTCCTGAGATTAACATCGTAGTGTGATTTATATGTTCCATATTGTTGAAATGCTAAGAGAAGGCACCTTACGACAGAGGTCCTTTTTGCCCAGTACTCATGACATAGAGAGTCTTTCTCTGTATGGAATAACCTTAAGACAGATCTAGGGGGATTTTATCGGTAAGGTGTCACTTAGCTAAGATACATAGCGCTCACGTTCACGTATGTGAGTGCTGTGTATCTTAGCTAAGTGCCACAGTATACTGTATACACACATTAGTGACGCTGAGTACACAAATGGTACCCATGGGATTGCACACTTCCTGCATGTCATCAACAAACATTTATAACGTAAAAGATGTTTTCTACTCAATTAAATATATCAGTTTTTTTATTCAGGAGATGCTAAAGGGTAGGTATCTGTGGAGCGACAATAACCTTTCAAATTACCAAAGAGGTTAACCACGTCAGGAAGTTAACAACGTAAGGCTGTCATCTATCAGATGACTGCACGCCCTGCTACAATCGTAACAAATAGGACTGACTGACTGACTGAGTTTGGTTTTACGCCGCTTTCAGCAATATTCCAGCAACATCACGGCGGGGGACACCAGAAATGGGCTTCACACATTGTGCCCATGTGGGGATTCGAACCCGGGTCTTCGGCGTGACGAGCCAACGCCTTAACCATTAGGCTACCCCACCGCCCCGTAACAAATAGGAAACTGTCATCACTATAATTCATTGTGTGTAAGTGCGTGCCTGCTTGAGTTCCAACGAGCACCACGTTGTTGACACGTATTGGATAAGTACATTTGTTTGGGGTTTTGTTTTGTCTACTCATATCTGCAGCCCCATGTGCCTACAAATTGACTGCTTATGATTCTTTTTGGACCTGACTCCCATCATTTTTATCAGTCCCATTATTGTTCAACGCTTTTCTTGCTTTACGATCACTCTAATCATGTGATCAGAATCTTCTTAACACGACAGGTGAAGATCTGGGTTAGAATATTGATCTTCAGTAACCCATCCTTGTCGTAAGAGGCGACTAACGGGATCGGGTTGTGGGGCTCGCCGACTGGGTTGACACATATTATCGGTTCCCAATTGCGCAGATCGATGCTCATGCTGTTGATGACTGGATTGTCTGGTCCAGACTCGATTATTTACAGACCGCCGCCATATAGCTGGAATATTGCTGAGTGCGGCGTAAAACTAAACTCACTCACTCTTCTTCACACTTCCAAATCCTCTAAAAAAACAAATGGCGATCAGGCCATTCAGACATGTGTGCCATATTTGAATGCAGTGGACTGATTTACCATCAGAACACCGATCGACAAGTGAACAAAGCTTTAGTCTTCTAAATCACTGCTGAATATTCTGTTGTTCAGCAATGCCTACAAGAACTAGTCAGTGCCCATGACTCAAAGCGCTTCTGGGAAGACATGTACTGCTGGATACCCCTCACCTTCCACACAGAAACATTGCGTCCTCGATGTGCATAAAAATTGTATGTACGAGGAACAATTTAAAGATTTTTAAATCAACCCGGCCGTCGATTAGATTTAACCAGTGGACTCACCCACCGTACAGTATTGCTGACATCAGTTTGAACAAAAAAGACAGTAATGCAGCCACATGTTTTATTGCACATGCGCAGTTTTGTCATCTAAAAACGACAGACACAGACATCGTTGCTGTTACAACTGCCTCCCTTGAATCCGATCAGCACACAATGAGCAGCACAGGCGGCGCCGCCAATGGACACACCCAGTATGCTCAACTGAGCCAGAAAGTCACATGTGAAACGTTTCTCTGGAACATATTAAACATGGATGACCAAATTGTATGTTTTATGTGTCATTCATCCTTGTAGTCCGAGAAAATGAACGTTTATGTAAATTGTATGAGAGTAGTGACGTTGGAGACGAATTCCACTACACTTTAATATATATTTTACATTTCAAATGTTAATATTTCAATGAACCAAGGGGCATGCATGTTCTGTAACACCGTTCAAAAAGACCACCATCCCCCCTCCCGTAGTGCATGTGCTCAAAACTGATGACCTCCCCAGCACAAACTGACTGGGAGACCCCCTTAAAATCATCATCATCATCTCTCTCTCTCTCCCGTGCAACAACAGACTGGCGATCCTGGATCACGCCAATTGCACGTTTACTAACGTAAAGGCGTATTTGTAAGGCGTGCACAAAGCATGATAATTCTTTATCTCTCAAGGAATGTTCACAAGGTCTTTTTCTAATCACCAGCAAATTCTGCACACCTTTTGGTGGCTAGGCACATGAAATTGTGGTCACGTGGTGCGTCGCGTTGTCAGAAAAGAGCGTGCTGATGCGTGGTTCACCAGTCACCACCGTTGAAATCGGTGAATGTGTCAGGTTAGACCTGGCCATTATGGTATCCACCCATATCAACTACCATGTACTACCCATTTTCACTACTACCAATAGTGTTCATTTCTCCAAATGTGAATTTAAGATTTTGTTTCAGTGTGGTAGTTGTTTGTTCTGTGACAGACAACATAAGCTCAGATGTTCTTACAAAATAACTGAAGGGAATTTTCATATTCATATATTCGTCATAATGTGTCACCTATTCTGGCGGCTTCTGCCGAACAGGCGCCGAGAAGGAGCAGTACCACGGAGAGGGCGAAGATTTGCATCTGAAACACATGACTTTATTAAAGACAGCGCTGCACTGCAGGTTAACGTATTTTTCAATCAACCTTAAACTTCTCAAAAACTTCGGGACAATATAACATCATTCGTTCAATCTAAAAACAGCTTTGGTGGCATATTGAAATAAATATGAAATCTCTTCTGTTGCAAACTTCTCTTAACTGGTTAAGCAGACGAGCATTAACATTTGCCAAACTGATAACATCCTCTGCGAACAAAAGCAGCAATAATTCTAGTATAAACTATTATATTAAATATCACCATGTTTGTTATATCAGCTTAATTCCAGCATATTAGTTTAAAAGGAGAACAATAATTGGTTGGAGATACGCCCTTGCTTTACACCAACCCTCAATTCTCCGTAGCACTGTGCTACGATTTTTTTAATGTGGCATCTTTACGGAAAGTGTGAGCGAAGTAAATATTGCCTGATAAGTCTATGTGAATTGGATTTATGTGCTTATGCATAACATTATACGCTCAACATTAAAAATGACTCGCAATAAATGTCAAAAATGGATTTTCTTCTACGACGACGTCAAACGACGACAGAGAGGTCATACACGTATAATGATAAGGGGGCATAACACCGTTATGCGTAACACTAGGTCAATGTAACTCAGATCACTTGGAGAGAATTTCAAGAAAAATGACAACGTATTACATGTGAAAGCACGTAATAGCGATTTGGATGGCCCTATCCGATATATAA